CTGTGCGGCCCTTAAATCCGAGCCGACGCGCTCAAGGTGTGCCTGCATCCTGGCCATCTTGTCGTTCTGAGTCTGGAGCAGGGTCTTGCATTCCTGATTGAGTTTGAACTGCTCGATCTAATAGAAATCTCCTTCGTCATCGAGGTCCTGGTCGCGCTCGATATCAGCATCGTTTCGACGAGCCTGGAATCGATTTCTCTCTGCAGGTGTGCTACGATTTCCTTAAGTGCGTTTGCTGCGGGGAATGTCATCTTTGCCGACCGTCCGCGCGATCCCGCCATAAGGGGCATGTCGTTCCTGCGCGATCCCCTTGAAGCAGCTGGTCGTGTACCCGTTGTTCCGTTGGCTCGCTCCAGAGTTGGATATGCTGTCCGCAGCAGCGGCAGCGGTGGTAGATCACCCTGGGTTCTTCGCGTAGTGCGCGGCGTTGAGAAGGTGAGGGTGTGCGGCCTGAACCGCCCGAGTGACCGTCGCCGTCCTCAAGTCCTGGTGGTTTTCTTGCGGGCCTTGGTCGCCTTTGTAAGAGCCTTCAGCTTGTCTTCATGATATGTTGTCCTCTCGAGCAGTATCTTTCATCATGTCATTTAGCTCATCAAGGCTCTCGGATTCGTCGCAAGGACATTGACAACGTCCTCACCTGTCTGGCTGCACTTGAYGGCCGTGTTGTCTGGCTGTGATACCGAGGAGCCGTCGCTGCTGTTGCCACTACTGTCGTCGCTGCTGGTCATCTTCTCCCGTCTAGTGTGTGAAGTGATTCCTTTGTGTCAAAAAGTCTCTAGGGTCCCCTTAGACGGCGCCAAACTGTGGGAGTCGGATCTGCACAGTTAAATTTGTCAAGGGTGTTTGGGGATTAGAGATTTCTATGTCGCGGACTCATTTAGAACAAAGACTGAGAATAAGAACTCTTTATTGCTATTTCTGTTAAGCTGTGATTATAAGAGAGTTTCTCTGCCAAAAGTTCTGAACCCCCTTTCTGGGTGAGTACAATGAGATATATATAGTGTTTAAGTAAATGAGTTAACTAATAAAATGGGCTTGACCCATTAAGCAATATATCTCATTTAGGCCCATCATTTCATTAAGCCCATTTTGATTATGAGTGTAATGTCATTTTGGGCCTAGATTCTGACTCGGCCTTTGTAGACTTAATCTGATTTCGTCAGGACGATGCCACAACTCTTTCCCACCTTCTCTTGGGATTTGATTATAGGATCTCATATTGTGATTATGCATGTGCAATTCATGCTTCTACGAAGAAGCAAGGAGAAAGATTCTATATCCTTGAGGTACGTGCTATTAAAAGAGTGGAAGGTAGGATATGGAGATTGAGTATGAACAGTTGATCTCTTGAGAATTGGTTAGGGGGTCGAACGCACATCGCTCGATATAATAGCTCCTTCCTTTGTACCAACTACTCCACTTTGATATACAAAAATCATATACTCCACTTCACCTTTCTTAGACTGTTTATCCTCTAACCTCTTAGTTCTAATTTCTGGGGATGATCAGTGTAAAGGTTGCGTCTTTCAAAATGTGTGCTTGTAAATTTTAATAGTTTATCTTCTTTTTATATATAAAAATGTCCAAAAACAGATTGGTGTTACGACCACATAGCTTAAAGTTAAAGTAATGGTGCTCGAGTTCAGGTAGATTAAAGAGTATTTCTATTTTATAAAGTTTTTTCCATGTATGGTCACAGTTACTTCCATTATTAACCCATACTGTTTTGCAAAAATACATTGAATATAAGTGAGAAGAAAAGTAGTCATCAAGTGAAGGGTAGGTGAGGGTTTTATCTTTAAAAACCAGACAAACTCATGTGGGAGTCAAGACTAACACAATTAGATTTGCAAGGGTTTCGAGAGGAAGCAAAAATTTCTAAGTTAAGCTACGAGAGAAAACGATGAGCAAAGAAAAGTTTTTTTGTTGTGTATGCTTTTGTGAACCAAGTTGCCCATCCCTTTACAAGGATTTATTCATAGACATATATAGTGTTCCTAAGTCGGCCAAGTTTTCCATAAAGGATTATGTTAAGTTTTCTAAGTCTTCGCGGATTTCCTTTTCGTCCATGTCGGTTGCGCCGAAGTGGGCTTTGCAACTGGGCTGGG